TTTTTTGCATCGGCAGACCCGGCAGCTTGTGAGGATTTAATTGCAATTTTATCCGACAAGATAAGCCTAAGATCCAATGATCAGCTGCTATACGAAGTAGACAGGAGGCGATCGCGATGACTGGATCACGAACCAAGAACCAATATAATACAATAAATATAATACAAGGATGCCCCGTACAATCAACCCGACTTTGGCCTCGGCCTCAGCACATAGCGCCAAGTCGTCCCAAAATGCCACCTCTTCTCCTCCACAACCTCTAGTCCGCTGTCCCGTACGATCTTCCCAATATCCCGATTCCACCAGCACCCGTGCCGATCCGCATGGGCAGGAGCCAGGTTATCGAGCACCCGGTTCAACCAGTCATAGTACGATCGGCCATGCTCAAGCAGGAGAATCCGCCCGTGCTGTGGCTCCGTGATAGAGCCCAGATGCCGCAGCGTGCCCACCGGATCTGGCATCGAGCAAAGACCCATTGTCTGCACGATCGTGTCGAAATAGCGCGGGTTGGCTGCTCCTGCAGCTGCCACTGATGGATTGACGGCACCCGCGTCTGCCACGGCAAAATTCACCCTTTGCACAAACCGCGGATACATCCTCTCGAACTTCTGCCGCGTAACATCCACCATCTGCGAGCTGAGATCAATAAACGTGACGCTCAACAACCCCTGTCCCTGCCCTTGTCCATATTCGTGTCCGCGCTCCACCCCCTGTCCCTGCCCCTGCACCTGGCTCAGATCATAGTGCGCCAAGTTCCGACCAGTACCGCAGCTGACCTCGAGCACATTCCCCCTTGCCATCTGGATAAGATGGTGCCGTTTTCGGCCCAGTCGCATCAGCTTCTCTGACATGTCGACGTCGGCGTCAAAGGTGGACGCTGTGTGGTTGTAGCGGTCTGAAACATCTTGCGGGACGGTGAGGGATTGCGATTGGTTGACTTCGCGGGTGTACGAGGCGTAGAGAAAACCGCAGTAGGTGCTTATGGTGAGCATGCCGATGCCCATGAAGGTCATGATGCGGGGGGAGATGCCATGTTTTGGGGCGGTTGCTGAGGGAGGTGGGTTTACGAGTAGTGGGTTTGCACGCTTGGGGAGATTTCTTGTTCTATATGGGTCAGGACTGTTTTATCTTCTGGTTCTGGGGTACTCACTGTGGATGGGGGATTTGGCTATTGAGTCTCTGCGGGCCCGGGACGGATCCCGCTTTTTTCAGCGAGGCTCTCCCTACTCGGGGCGCGCTCATCGTGCCTGTCAGGTGTTAGCTGAAAGCATTATGACTGAGTGCCCCAGAGATCAATATACTAACAATAGTATGAGTGTGGTCAAAGTACGATGGAGCGACGTCGGAGAAAGCGGTGTCGGATCTGAAGATCTTATCAGCCACCTTAAATCCAATTGACTTCTCCGCATCCGCAGATTTTTTGGAGATTTCTTCAGGAGTACTGTACTCTCGAGTACGTCAATTGCCCTTCAACCAGGAGGTTATAGCAGCAGACAATGGCCCTGCCAAAGAATATTCTGATTGTGGGAGGAGGAGTTTTCGGACGTGAGTATCGAGGTCTCCCAACATATCAATCGCGACAGATTGCATTGCGACAGAACACCGAAAAGGACACCACTAACTACCAACAACAGTATCCACGGCATTGTCCCTCTCTAACCGCCACCCATCCTCCAAAGTAACCCTCCTCGAATCCTCCCCCACAATCCCCAACCCCGAAGGCTCCTCCGTCGACACCTCGCGCATCGTCCGCGCCGACTACTCCAACCCCGTGTACTCGAAGCTCGGCGCCGCAGCCATCGACCGCTGGCGCAACACCGAATGGGGTGCTGATGGCCGCTACACGCAGAACGGACTTATGCTCGTCTACCCGAATGGTCAGGGGAATGGGCGGGACTATGCGATGAAGAGTTATAAGAATGTGAAGGAGTTGGAGGGCGATATGGTGGAGTTGTTGCCGAGTAAGAGGGATGTGTTGAGGGCGGCGCCGGCGTATTCGGAGGAGTTGAATGTTGAGGGGGGGTATGTGAATTGGGGGTCTGGATGGTCGGATGCGGGGGCGACGGTTGCGTATGCGAAGCAACTTCTTGATAAGGAGGGGAAGGCTGTGTTTAGGACGGGGGAGGTTGAGCGGTTGCTCTATGATGAGGAGGAGAAGGATAAGGTTACTGGCGTCGTGCTTTCCGACGATACTACTCTGACCGCGGACCTAGTCGTCCTCGCGACAGGCGCCTGGACAGCGAAACTTATCGACCTGCGCGGCCGAACACTTTCCACCGGTCAGGCATTGGCCTACATGCAAATCACCGACGAGGAACAAGAAAGACTCTACAACATGCCCACCATCCTCAACTTCGCAACGGGCATGTTCATCATCCCCCCACGGGACAACCTACTCAAAATCGCCCGCCACGGCTACGGCTACCACAACCCGGTGACAGTCTCCGTACCAGGACCTGACGGCAAGGGAACGATGCAAGTCAGTATCCCAGAGAAGGGTGTTCCCATCCCGCTCGAAGGCGAGGAAGCTTTCCGCGACGCAATGAAACAATTCCTCCCTGATCTGGCGAATCGACCATTTGTCAAGACCCGCGTCTGCTGGTATACAGACACGTAAGTCCCTTTTACCCCCATCAACCCTACACAAGTACTAACAAGCAAACAGCCCCGAAGGCGACTTCATCGTAACCCACCACCCAACCTCCAAAAACCTCTTCATCGCCACCGGCGGCAGCGGCCACGCCTACAAATTCTTCCCTGTGCTAGGCGACAAAGTCGTCGACGCGATGGAGGGCACGCTGGACCCCGAATTGCAGGATATGTGGAAGTGGCCGGAAGCCAAGGGTGCGGATGTGTTTGAGGGGACTGAGGATGGGAGTCGGTCGGGGCAAAAGGGGCTTGTGTTGATGGAGGAGTTGACGAAGTCGAAGCGGGAGAGTAAGTTGTAGATGTAATGTATATAAGGCGGGGTGGTCCTTTTTTAAGTGTGTATGTAAGTATGTGTGTGTGTGTGTGTGTGTGTGTGTGTGTGTGTTTTCCTATGAAGAATTGTATATTTAGTCATCATCTAGTTCAAGTTTTCTACCTCTGGAGTAGGCATCATGAATACGCCTCAGGGTCCGACGCGCCAGAGATGTCTTTAGCAAGAACCATTCGACAACGTAGCTTGTAGTTGCTTAACGGTTGCAGCAGGTAAAGCAGCCACTCAAAAAGTGATCTTCGCATTAGACTTGTGAGAAACAACAACAACAAAAAAAAAAAAAAAAAAAAAAAAAAAAAAAAAAGAAAAAAAAAAAATCCCAAGCCGCTAATCCCAGTCTCTTCGCAGAGTAAGTACAGCGATTGACTCCAATCATATCCTGTGAATTCAAAGCGAGCAGAATCAAACAGTGACAGCTGCATACTAGTATTCTGAAATCTAAAACCAGAGCCAGAATACTCCATGCTAACAAACATATCACATAATGCAAAAAACGCATCTGACACCACATAGGATCCAACAAACACAGACACCAAGAGAAAACTAAGACCAACCCTCCTCAACCCAGGACCCCAACTCCTCCTAGCACCATCATGCCATCATAGCCCTAACCCTTTTATCGGTGTGTGGAGCAGGTCCAACACCCAGGGGGTGGAAGGAGGGGTTAATTTATAGCCTGCGATATCCCAAGATCGACAAACATCGTCTACCTTGCGTTCAGCTGAATTGTTCTTGAGTAAAAGTATGAACTATACAAATACAAGTACCCCCGGTACAGAGTATCTACTATTGTCGATCGTTGGATGCTTTTCGCTGGTTCGCCGCCCGATAAGTTACCGGAGTCAGGTCTCGCATGAACTATCGACTATCGGAATGCCTCAGCTGAGGCTCCCCAGGTGGCGTTTTTTGTCTGCATGGACGAAATATGCATTCCAAAGAGTGCTGTCGGGGCACTCGGTAGTCCTCCCAAGTAATTAATTAGGGCTCACCTTCAAGCGTAAAAAGAGAAGCATGCTCATGGGCAGAATCTACAGTTACGGAGTGAAATCATATCTGTTGAACCATTCATTAATTTTTTTAGGAGCATCAAGAACTGATACTACCAACATCAACCTCGTAACGAATCCCAAATCCCCGTCCCCTAGCGAGAACTTTTTTTTTCTTTCTGGTTTTTCCCCATTTTTCCCTCTCAAACCAGTAACCTAACTTCCTTGTCAATAGGCAAAGGACAAATAATTAAGGAGGCAACCATTCGACCAGCGCACAGTACCACCCCCTAATCCTGCGGTGTGCGACTATCTAATTGTAATCTTTGAGCGTGAAAAAGTAGACAACCGGGTAACCACCTTCGAATCGCTAGAACGCCGGATAATGCTAGCATAAACAATCGTAAAATCAAAGAGTGAGCGAAGGCACAAAGTCCTGCTCGAAACCTCCGGGCAAAAAGAGAATAAGAAAGTGATAATACAAGTTAATAGAGAAGTGTGAAGTATGTTTTGATGATCTCCTGTGCTTGGAGAATCAATGCATAGGCTTAGACCTTGCGGAAGTCTAGAGTGCCAATTAGCGGGTGTCTATTTTTTGAGATCAAAAGAAACATACCAGAAAGCACAGGGTAGATCAGCTCGAATGCCTGGTAGATCTCTTCACGGACCTTGGCACCTGTCAAGACAATCTTGCCACTGACGAAGATCAACAGGACAATCTTGGGCTTCATCATACGGTAGATGAGACCGGGGAACAATTCGGGTTCGTAAGAACTGAAATTGTGGTGGCGACTGGCCAGACCCTCCAAACGAATGGGGAACTTGATGTCACACGAGCCGACGATGTTCTGGATCTTAAAATCCGTGAACTTGGCGTTGAAACCAAGCTTCTGGATGATCCGTGCGTACTTCCTGGAGGCCAACTTGGAGTCATCTTCCGATTTGGCACCGGTGACGACCATCTTTCCCGACGCGAAAATCAACGCAGTGGTCTTCGGTTCTCGAATACGCATGATGACGGCAGCGAAACGCTAAGTCAAAGAAGACAAACAGTTCAGCCACACTGTACCCTGACGCATAAAGACACTTCAGGGAGGTGTGGAAAGTAATACCTTTGGGTTGTACTCCGCATTTCTTGCATGGAGTGCGATGGTTTTCAAATCCAAGCGACAGTCAAGGTTGACAGTTGCGACGATGTTTCTTTGGAAGAGACATGTTCAGTATTCTGGTAGACCAGAAGGAAGAAAGCAAAAAAAAAAAAAAAAAAAAAAAAAAACAGCAAGAGTATACTCACTGCAAAGTAGGCACAATACCACTCCCCGGCGCGTTGGCACTAGGAGTCGCAGCAGGAGTTGTGGGCATCACCCCATTGCCGTTGACGGCGTGACCTCCGTGCTGCTGGCCATTCATCAATCCATTCGCACCCTGAGAACCCATCGCCATGACGCCATCTTTTTCAGAGGACGGCGGGGTCGTCGCGTCACCCGCACCACCGGGGAAGGACAGGGAGGCGGGAGAGGTGAAGGCCTTCGCCTGATGAGCGTTCGAGGGATGAGTCGTGAGAGAATCCATACTCAAAGCCGAAAACCAGCCGAGACTGAAGAGGGTACAAAAATTAGGTTCGATCGCACACGTGCAGAGATGCAAGAAGTGGCAATCTGAATCGAAGAACATCAGTAAAGACAGCTTCATGGAGAGCGCCGTGGTTGGGAGAGAGTGGGCAGTGATTCTGGAAGAATCGGTTGCGAGGGAGTGAATCTCGGGGCAGAAAAAATCAAAATAGCGCCATACCCTTTGAGGCGGTGGGAGATGGACAACTCAATGTCTCCCCCGACAAACAAGCAGAAGCTTCTGTTTCGCTTTGAGGATAAGAAACTCGACTGGGACAGACGGTGATCCTCGATGGAAGAGAGGAAGAGGATGGGAGTCCACGAAGGGAAGATGAGGAAGACGTCAGATGCCGACCGACGGAACCCGGAATAGGAAAGCAGCGGAAGTCGGAAAAACCACAGCCAAGTGTTTTTCCGAAAAATAGAAAAGAGTGCTCAGAGGACAGAACGACAGGATGCGACAATAACAGGGAAGCAAAGCAAGTGAATATTTTTTTTTATCCCTTTCCAAAACAGGAAACCCGGGATGTTCTATCTGCAGTGAAGAGAGTGTGATGGTGGTAGAAGCGCAAAAAGAGAGTAAGACTTCCTGATTCGGTAAGTGTAAATTACCTCTGCTCTCTCTTTTTTTT